ATATAACGATCAATTTGGCACAATCCATATAATCAAATCTATTTTTGTATCATAATAATTATTTTATAACAAAATATTGTATCGGTCAAACGGTCGGTTCGGTCGGTCAGAATTTGTGACCGAACTGGTATCGGTCACAGTCATGACCGGTCATGACCGGTCACGACCGAACCGTTGACATCCCTAATCGCAACTATGACATCGCTTACGTTGCATTTTTTGGTTTCAAATTATACTCTGTAATTACATATCCAAAATTGATGAATAACTTTAGATTTTGTGAACAAATCACATTTCAAACGGCATATATTCCATACACATTCGTTCCTGGTATTAGAAATTAGCCTAAATATGTTAATGCAGGCCAGATATTATATTAATGCTGACCCGATGATATGGTAATGCCTGCTAGATAATTTTATTTTTGGATCATATAAAATCCCGCGCATCACGCGCGTGCCCATCTCTAACTAGAAGTATATAAACAGGCCTACCGAAAAATTAATTGCAATTACTTTTGTTATATGTCATACAATTAAATCAATTATTTAGCAGTATCATGAAATTAATTGAAACCAAATTAGTGATGATATAATTGTTTCTTCACTATACTGCGTAGAGAACTACCTGGAATAACACGATTTTTTAAACAGCGAAAGATCAAAAATCACATGTATTTACTGTAATTACATAAAATTGCAATTAATTGCTTCTACAATCAATTATTCGGTAGGCCTGCATACAAGTAAATGCATATATATGTGACATATATAAATTTAGATACCCACCATCTACTTACTTGCAAGATCATTATGGGCTTATTTCTAATAAATCGAGTAACCAATATGACCCAATTAATGCAAGAATAATTAACCTAATATTGAACTATTGAAGCTAAATCGTCTACTTAATGATCGATAATTTAAGTATCATTATTCAGCATAGATTAGTATCATCAAGCCTGGTTCTTAGCGGTTGTTGCTCACTTTCCTAAAGTCCATTTTTCTGAACTACCATTTCACCGAAGTCGTAATACCGATAATCCATTTTGCTAACAGGAAAGAATAAGTCTGTGTCATTTCACCAACAGTACAACCATGGAGCCTATTAGTGTTTCCAATGTCATTAAAAGATCTACAAGATGTCCAACCAATACTCTTACGAATAACTGAGAGATGGAACAATAGAGTCAGCCTTTACAAGATGAGCAATAGTGAAAGAAAGATATCTCTATTTAATGAGGATCCTTAAATATTTCTACATTGGTGACAAATCAATCTCACCTTCCTTATGTTACTTATTGCATACCCAAAAACATGTGATTACCCTTCGCCTCTTCTCAATTCTAATCATAGTGATAATCATGGCAGAAAATTTTCTGGATCATAAATAACCTAAAACTATAAATAGATAAAACGACAAATTGAATATGTGATTCCATAGTTACGTACGTACCTACCTGATCTCGCAATAATGGTCATCTTGACATTTCGTTAACAAGTTCCACATTTTACTGATAATCACGCCTTATTTCACAGACCATTAAATTACAGGCAGTTTTATTTTACAGACAAACAATTCTTAGACAAATTCATTTTGTATATAAACTTACTTTACTGAAAGCTTATTTCACTTATTTCAACCCGATTTATGACTATAGTTACTTTGTCAGCGAAATAAATTGTGAAATGAGCTTGTCTATGAATTGATTTTCTGTAAAAGAAACTTGCCTGTAAGCCAATTGTCTGTAGAATAAAGTATCTTCAAAGTAAAGAGTCTCAGGAATTTTTTTAAACAACTATTTTTTTATTAATTAAATTTATTATTATTATTATTTTATTAATTTATATATTTCAAAAAAATGTGATTAACAATGCCATTTTTACTTCGTAAATACCTTATTTCACGGATAATTAGTTTCAAGACAAGTTTATTTTACAGATAATCAATTAAGGCAAGTTTATTTTAGCGAATTTATTGTATAAAATAAACTTGTCTTGATCCAATTGTCTGTTAAATAAGGTACCTATAAGTAATTGACTATGAAGTAACGCAGCAACAAATATTAATATATTCATTATTTTTTAAATATTTTTTAATTTAAAAATTTTTTTTCATTTAAACCTAATATATATATGTATTTAAAAAAATCTAGTTTAATTTTTTAAGTAATGATACTTCTTTAATCTGATGCAATGATACTTCTTTAATCCGATATAATGATACTTTAACCAGTAGACCCTTATTTCACAAATAATTAGTTCAGGAAAAGTTTATTTTAATAAACTTATCTGCGGACCAATTGCTATAAAATGAAGTGTCTATAGTAATCGTTAGCAAGGCTTAAATTACTACAATAATTCGCTGCTTATTTAAAAGCGCTATTCTTGATCTATAATATATTCAAATTTGATTTATTAGAATTACAATTACAATTAAATGCGAAATAAAAATATTTAGTTTGCTGGATAGAAAAGAACCATGCGTTTGAACAATAAAAATTAGCACTATAAATAGTGGAAATTACTACTGTAGTTTAAGCGATGCGATCTATTATATATTTCTATATATTCACACAAGTATATATTTTATATTTAGGTGATTATATATGGTGAATACTATATAATCTCACAACAAACAGTGTGATTATAGAGGAGGATGACTGTATAATAAATTATATTTAATGAATCATGAGTCTGATAAGCCCGTTTCTGTAAAATTGATGCAACACCAATAATACTATTACAGTATTGTATTTGCTCGGGATTAAAGATTACTTATTGATTAAATTATTGTCATTTTTAATTATAATGTTAAACTGTTTTGTAACACAGCCATAACATGTACAAAAATCCGAGCATTAACAAAAGACTTACAAATCGCAAGGTTATTTAAAAAAAAAATTTTTTTTTCTTAGAAAATTGTATTACAGTATTTGATATGGCGTATTACAGAATTACAAGTACCTTAGCCATGGTGAAAATTCATTACTGAAGTGTGATTGCCAGTTTAATTAAATCGCAAGATCAAGCGTAACGTAAAAATATCAAGATTTTGCATAGAAATCGCATTCATTCTAACAAAGAAAAAACTCTTCATAAAAATTTTGTGTTGTAAAAGCTCTGTATTAACATTAAGCCTCACCTTAAGGCAAGTTTTATTACGTAAACGTTATACTATTGTCAAAAGAGAAACAACAAATCAACCCGACATAGAATCGAAACATGTACGAAAGAAAATACTTGAAAATTAATGCTTAAACAAGAAGTAATACTTTCTTCATATCTCTCTAAATTAATGACCTACTCTTAAATATCTATCTTCACATACTTTTTATTTTCATAATATCCTTTTTGGGATTGTATCAAATTCATAATTCATATTGTAGTACTGTGTACAAGTATGTGACACGTCACTAACTTGCAAATTCTTTTTTTCATTTAATTTTTTTCAATTAATTTCATCAGTTTAATCAATAGCCATGGTATATATACATAATAGCAACAATGATAAAACAAACGCAAAAACCAAATTGCCACAAGACAAATCCACGTTAGGCGATGAAATAGACCTTAGTCGTCAATCAACGTTAGTATCAAATGCAAATATAAACAGAAAAATATCGATATGGCCAAATTATCGACATTAGTTTACCATCGTCTAAAGATATCTCATTATGTAGAAACGATCCCTTATTACATGAGAAAGATACCTTATTACATGGGATTAAATTATTTTTAGTTACTTTTGGGTTCGTAGCAATTAATACTCTGGAGTTTTCATTAGATGATCAAGTTATTAATTTAGTTATACTTTTGATACTATAGTCTAGGTTGTTCTATATTTTTAACCGCATTAGACTATTCAATCCTTTCCACCGCTTTACCTAAAATAGCATCCGATTTTAATGGATTAGACCAATTCGCATTGGTTGCAACTTCTTATATAATCACAGAGGTAATTTCTTCAATGGTTATTTTCCTGACAGGCCATTTACCTGGCATCATATAATTCGGCAATTTACTAACAATTTATGCATACAACTAACAAAATGCTAAATTGTTGTGTGGATGGGAAATTACTGCCGGAAAATTACATATCATGATACTCATATGAAACACGTTATTGGCACAGGTTTCCTTTCAACCAATGTATGGGAACTTATCTGATATTTTTGGTCCTAAAGCAACTTTCTTAATTTCGGTCGCCATTTTTTTATTTGGCAGTTTTTTATGTGGTATTGCTTCTAATATGGTAATATAATTTATCTTTTTTTTTTTTTACTTTTCAATTTTCTCAATTTTAATTTGAATACAGTATTTATTACTTTATTTTTTAGATTTCATTGATAATATACCGTGCAGTTGCTGGTATTGGAGGTGCTGGTATTACTAGGTACATAGTTTTCATTGTAATGTCGATTTATATCAAATTCTTATGCATAATGGTCTTTTATTTTTAATTTTTAGCCTCGTTATAATTATTATTTCAGAAATTGTTAGCATTAAAGATCGGGGAAAATTCCAAGTTATTATTGCCGCATGCTATAGCATTTCTTCCGTAGTAGGACCACTCGCGGGTGGTGCCCTTACTGATTATGTTAGTTGGAGGTACGCAAATTTTTATAGTAATGTGAAAACTAAGTTATGAGTGGTTATCTTATTGATGCAAAAAAATTCTGATTGTGTTATCATCATTTTATACTATATCAATCATAAATAAAGAAAAAAAGTTTTTTCTTAATCAAATTTATTTTTTTTCAAAAATTTTCTAAACAGATGGTGTTTCTTCATCAATATACCCACAGGTGCAATAGCATTAATCATCATAATTTTTTTTCTTCATCTGCCAAAACCAACCGGTTCATTACTTGATAAATTAAAAAGAATTGATATTCTTGGTATTATTATAATGGTTTCATCAACTACTTGTATCTTATTATCTCTTAACTGGGGTGGTAATATTTATGCTTGGGATAGTCCCGTGATTATAATACTTCTATGTGTCGGTATACTTGGTTACATAGTATTTGTTCTTGTTGAAAATTCCGTCGTTGTTGAACCAATTGCTCCACGTAAGCATTCATGGCTTGATTTATTTTCAAAAGTTATCAAAATAACTAATATATTATATTATTGTATTAACTCATTTTTTTTAAAATAGCTCATTTATTTAAAAATCTTAATGTAGTTTCATGTTTCTTTGTAAACCTTTTTATGGGAATGTCAATAACTGTTTATCTTTTTTATATTCCTCTTTACTTCCAAGTTGTAAAAGCTGATTCAGGTATGTCTATCTATCGACTATAGTTGGTGGTAGTGATACGGTCGGAACGGCTTCACGATAGGGTATGTCGTGTAACCTACGAGTCGGCTAAGTCGATAAGAGGCGTGTTAGATTTGGCGAATTGGTTATTTATGATCGTGGGTATTATAATGTAGCGAAAGCAGGGAATTATTAGAGGACAAATTTTATTACCACTAATAGTTTTAACCGACTTTTACGAACTATAATCCCGGGAAACCTATTTTAGGTAGATGATCGACATTTCCGTTAATTCATTAGTGCGCCCTATCGATCACCTCCTTCCGAGATTACAGTCCTACGGCTCACAGTAGAAAATTATCGAATTACAGCATGTGCCGTATTTTTTGCACAATATTCAGTAATAGGCATAATTGTCTTACGCCGTAATTGCCGTAATTATAAATGCGGAACCAAAATTAAGCGTATCGACCAAAAATTCATCGGAAACAGGTCGTATTAAGTAATACCGAAACGTTCCGATGCATACCGACACAGAATTTTGGTCAATTTTCCGAATTTTGGCTCCGCCACATAATTATGACAATTAGATGCTATGCTTCTACCATATGGTAGAATGCCGTAATTCAGTAATTCTATCACCAACTATACTACCGACTAAATCTCATATTCTCTCATTAAACATAAAATAAATTTAACAATATAAATATTTCTTTGGTTTCTATTTAAACAGCTACACAATCCGGATTAGATCTTATGCCTCACATTCTTGCTGTAACAATATCCATATTACTATCCGGTCAACTATTCTCACGAACTGATAAAGTTTCATTTAGATTAGTGATTATGCTTGCTTCTTTATTGATAATTGTCGGTGCCGTATTAACTACTATGTGGAATGAAAACACCAGCTATATTGAATTAAAAGTAGGTATGATAATTACTGGTATTGGAATTGGTTTTACCGCTCAATCTATTATATTATGTATTCAATATTTGGTTGAGAACAAGGATATGGCTTCAGCTATTGCTTTTTCATATTTCTCTAGAAACTGTAAGTATATTCAAAAAAAAAAAAAAGGTCTAGTTTTGACAAAATTATTTTTCTAAGTGTGCATACATTTTTTTTTTTTTTTTTAGTTGGATGTGTTTTTGGAATTGCAATTTCAGGTTCAGCATTTAATAATAGACTTTCTCACGCATTAAATCCTTTAATTTTACCTTCATACTTTTCAACACAATCTGTATATACCATACAAATGTTACCATCAGATACACGAACTTTAGTTATTCAAGCTTATGTATTAGCATTTCAATTAATCTTTGGTCTAGCTGTGTTATACAGCGTGTTATATTTAATTTCAGCTATGTTTATAGGAAATAGTAAACCTATGCATAAATAGAGTTAGAGAATAAACTGATTTTTTAGGAGGTGGGTTTGTGATTTGATCTAGTAGATTAGCCATGTACAAAAAAAAATTTGGTTCATGTAACCCCGAGCTCCTAAACAAATAAAGTTGCTCAGATCATGATTTTGCTATAATATTGGAATGAAGGTCAAATATTACAAAAGCGAGTGCAATAACGAACTAATAAATAAATTGCCTGCTAGAATTAAGTACCGATTAGTGATTTTATACTTTTACGCGATATACGTAGAAATGATCTGCAATATACTAAGAGGTTATTCTAAATCCGATTTCTATTTAAAAAAAAGTCATTTTTTTTATTATCTAAAAATAACAAGAATTATTAAAAGTTATTTTATGAAATCCGTGGGGTTTTGTGTGCCAAATAACAACACAGCCAATGATTGGTGCAAATTTTGTACTATAGAATTAAAAAAGAATTTTCCAATTGAAGATCTTTTACCAGAAAGAGTGGTCAGCTAAAGCGAAGCGAGTTTTAGTAGGTTATATAGAATATCGAGAATGTAATTTATGCAGTATTTAGATTATTGAATTAACTCCGCTTTAGCCAAAGCCCGGAAAGAGAAATGATCTGCGGTTACACGAATTTGAAAATCCCTGATTAGATACTGTAATTCGGTAAATCGGTAACCCTACGGCGGCTTAATCGAAATAGGTGTGTTAGATTTGGCTGGGTGGTTTATCCGTAGGTAAGTCTTTCCTTCAACCTATTCTTCTATTAACCCTTTGCTTCCTCTTATTTTCTTTCTACTTCCTTAACCTGGGGTTACGATACGTCGAATCGGGTTTGAGTCCTTCTCTTGCGTTAACAACTACCCCAGTATCGCCATAAAAATTCTACCATCACGTGACTATAGACGGCAAATTGACCAATAATGAGCCATGATTTGGTGTAACGTAGCACGATCAGGAAAATTCAAAACAAACGTTAAAAGATCGATATTTTGTCAAAAATTGCACATTTCTCAAAAATTTGAATAAGAAAACACCTTTTGTGCTCTAACAAAAAAAATTCCTTGAGCAATTTTACTATAAACCCGTTAGTATTCAACCTTATTAGAAATGCTAACCCTAACCTAAATGAACTTTAAAGAATTTTTCGATCATCACGTGATGGTAGAATTTTTATGGCGATGCTGGGGAAGATTTGCGTTAACGGCTTGGTCACGTGACTTACGGCGAACGATCAAAATGCGGTTATGTGATTTACAAACGAACAGACGATATGGATAACGAGGGGTTTTTAACGATAGTCGAAATATGGCTCTCTTCTAAGATTTCCCCAGCTGGGAAAATTAACTTTCCTTCCTTATCTTTCAGGTCCTCAGCTAAAGTTTGTCCGCTTAAACGGCGAAGAATATTAATTTTATGGTTAAATTTTTGTCGGCCGAGTTTACCCAACAGGAAGTAAGAGTTTTTTTCATTAAACAAAAATTCAGGCATAGGTCTGTTTATTAGTTTGGGTTGGGTTATAGTTTCACTTTTAATATGGGTCCAATACTTAAGTTTATTATGCAAAATGTATTCACTTGGGGGTATCGCTTGTTACTTTTTCCCCCTGGGCGGAAAGCCCTTTATTTATAATAAAACTTTTATTTACAATTGCGGTTAATTTCCCCTACATTATCTATTTACACGACATCATCCTTAAAACCCTTTTCCCAACTACGATAAAGAAAACCCTAATGTCCTATATGCCGTCGATCTACCCGAAGTAACAAAAGTAATAAAGGGTGCTCTCAAACACCTAAATTAATAGATCGGTGCTCAATTTTTAATTAGCGGAACATAATTTGGATGGTCAAATAAGCTCGTTATCGCAATGAAAAAAAAAAGATGATCGAGATCATCTTTTTTTATCATAGAGTTGTGTTTATTGGCTAAAATTTTAAGATCCGCATTTCGCACCATGAACCTTCAGCAAAATTGCCATAAGAATTACCTCAATTAATTATAGTGCTTGTGCACGATCTCGTTTACTAGCTGATCATATTGAGGGAGATGCTTAAGAGCGCCCTAAAGTAATAAAAGTAATAAAAGTAAGAAAAGTAAGATTTCTCTTTTCAGGTGACCAGTTACTCGGGTAGGCGACGGGACCTAAATGTGACGATCGATCACGGTCACGTGTGACCGTGATAACGGTAATGTGCCGCGTACGTATTGTACGTACTGTACGTGCTGTACACTAAATTTTTTGCCGATCACTTTTTCCAGCCAATCAGATGCAGGAAAAGAACTATACGTACAGTACGTACTGTACGCTAAAATTTTTCAGATATCATATAAATGGCACATCACTAGTGGTACCGATTCCGGGGCTCACAATACTAGGAACTGGATATTGATATGTGCCCAATTCAGAATTAAAGAAAATGATATAAACGAAAGAATAAAGTCAGGGTTGTCAAAAAAAAAATAAATTTCGTATATGAAAATATTTTCGGCATCCAAAAGTATTTTCGACATTTAAAATGGGCGAAAACCAGGAATCTCGATTTTTGCCAGCACCACATTTTTCGGGGTTTGATCTGTGAAATTAATTTCGGAAAACAACACAATTCCTGGTTTCCGCTTGGCAACACCCAAATTATTTATGATTTCGGCTGCCCAAAATATTTTCGGTAAGCCAAAAATAATTTCTATACCTATATGTAGAACAAAATCTACATTAATGCGATTTTTTACTCGTTTACCGTATTGTTACATACAATGCTCGTTATTTTGTAATTATCGGGCTATAATTTAAGATCTGTAAGTACGAATAGAAGTGTATTCATGTCGGATATCATCTGCTTCAACAGATATTCGAGTTTAAATAATACTAATGTGGCTTCATTATATATTCCATATTCCCAACATATTGAAGAAAAATTACTTATCTTTTCCAATGATAATAATAAAAATGTATGTAAAATTAAAGCATTTAGTTAGGATATTATGTCGGACAATAAAGATTTTTTTGTTAGAATATTAGGGTCGGATCATGATTTGAGAATATAGGAAAAAAATGTAATTTCTATATGTGAAATTTTATTCACTTAATTTTTAATTAGCGAGTTTTTTTTTTGTCTTTCCTCACTTTGTACAAGCGTTAGGCAGATCTAAGATACATAGCTATTTTCCCTTGGGGGGATTTCTATCACAAAATGTAGATAGTCGATCGGCATAAGAACACCCGGACATAAGCTTCAGATTCATATGATACAAGTGCAGTGTATATGTGCCAAACTATAAAAATATATCTCAAAATCAAATAAATATATATATATATATATTATATGTTTATTTAGTGATCACAGGACTGTGTAGAATAGTTTGCAGTGATACATAAATGCTATTATCGATAACAAAATATGAAACATTAAATGTTCAAGAATTATATAATACAAGAAATGGAGATGGTAAAGGAAAAATAAAAATAGTCAATTTATAGTGTAAAAAAATAATATAAATATTTGATAGTTGTCGTATATGAAAAAAGAAATGAAATCAGAACATTCATAGTTCAGGGGATGTTTTCAAGAATATCTAGTATATATAAATATATACGCAACTCTTTTTATAACCATCTAGTTTAATCGTGTTGTAACATTCACTATCATCTTATCAAAAGCAAGACGATGATTTTCAAAGGGCAAATGAGGATTTTTTAAATATTTTTCAATCGCTTCATTTTCGATAACATCTACTATGTCAACTGATGATAAAATGGCTGAAATAAGTATAGCTGCCACTGTTGGTGCAAATTTATCGGCTGCTATGCATTTCATTTTGCCGATAGAAAAAGGAATATATGATGCTGAAGATGATGCGTTAGGGTTTTCGAATCGTTCCGGTTTGAAACATAATGCATCATCACCCCAAACCGTATGATCACGCTGAATCGCTTCTACATCTATCGTATTATCTTTTCCATTGAGCGTTCGATGTATGTGGCGTGTTGCGGGATATAGTCTCAGCGTTTCTTTAACTATAAAATTTAATTGATTGTTTTTTAATGTAGAATCAGATGGATTCTTTAGAAAAGTATCAATTGAATTGTTTATGTTCTTAAGGTATATATTTTTTTCCATCTTCAAATTATTTTTGGTCAGTAAAATTTCGCGCACTTTAATTTCTAAGATTGCGTATAAAAGAACCCTCCACATTGTTTCATATGCTGGAAGCACAATATTCAACGGAGTTTTAAGTTCGTCTGCTGTGCTAATAAATCCGGAAGTTGTTTGTGGTGATTCGTGGAAATGATCTAAATGTTCTTGAGCTATTTTTGAAATTTCCTTTATAACATTGGTATCATTATCTTCGGTTTGTGAAATTGAAGTTGTATTATAGAAGTATTTTTGAAGCAAACTTATTGATTGCTGGTTTGATTCTTTATTATTGTATTCTTTAGACTTAAGCCAAAGATCGTTTATGATTTTAGGAATGTCACTAATGACATCATAGATATTGGTATCAAATCCTAAATAACCGCGCAACACAACACTTAGAGTGATTTTCTGTATCCAAGGAACAATTTCAATGAATCCGGTTTTAAGAATTCTTTCGTTATTTACAACTTCAAGCGCAATATTTGCAAAATTTCGCCATTTAGGATCATCAAATTTGATTGTTTTATGAATAACTTTGACGAATTTTTTACGATACTCTTCACTTGGATTGGTGAATGGATTTGATATTTGAAAAGATTTTTTCAACCTTTGATTCGGAATTACGCGAGAAAGTAAGTCGCTGTCAATGAGAATCTTGTGTGCTTCATCCGCATTAGTAATGAAAGAGTTTTGGGAAGTTAAATAATGCGCTTTGAGTTTTTTACAATATACCGCAAAAAGGAAGAGAATAACTAAGAATGTAATTATATCAAACATCTTAAACTTTGGAATTGTTGAAGTGAGTTGGGTTTGGTTATAAATACTTTCTTTGATTTACATATAAACAGTTTCGATTTACATATTTAGAAACAATGCAAGTCTAAACAAACTACGTCAAATTTAGTCTCTACAAAAGCTAATTATAGAAATAGAAGCATTTTTAAGATTCTAAACTGCAGTGATACAACGGTGGCGCATGCGGAGACGTATACATATTTTCACTGAGGTGGAAACAATGGCACTTGATCTCCAGAAGTCGTACAACGACGCATGTAATACAAACAAAAAAAAGGAAATCGAATTTTGTAAATAAACTAAGTGCGTAAAGATAAAATTTTGGGGTTAGGATGTTAAATTAAAAGATATAATAATATATTGTTGTTTATTATATGTAAAATTTTGTTCCCGATATTTTTAATTAGTGCACCAAAGTCGATTTGAACACTAGTTTTTGAGTATTTTCTGTCAGAATGATCCGGAATAGTCATAATTTTGTGCACTCCGATTGGTCATTTCCTTTTTAGGGGTTCATACTACCCGCGCAAATACTGAAATAAGTGCGTGCTATTGAAATGACCATAACGATAATGGTTTTAATAAATTAACCGTTATTAGCTTATTGTTAACGCACGTATGTCATTAATCACACTCACTTTGGCTTTATGCATACTGGAACCTGTTTGATAAAGTTTTTTGTATACGTAGTCGTAATTAAGTTATGACTACGTATAAGCTTGCATCTATAACGTGTACGTACTAAATAAGATATCGATCTGGTGTGACCTGGTCATTTGATCAAATAATTACTACGTATGCACGTACGCAGTGATTAGGATCTAGTGGTACGATGTCGTAAGTAGAAATAGAATTTTGGTGAATTTATGGGGAGTAAATTAGTACGCAAATTGGGACGGACATTTGGAAATCGGTTCCAGTTTAACTTACCGAAATCCATTTTTCTGAAATAATATTTCACTGAAGTTGTAATACCGAAAATCCATTTTACTAACAGGACAGAAATAGGTCTGTGTCATTTAAAATCAATTAACCAATAAGTTTATTTCACTGACAAGTTTTTTAAAATTGCACTAAACTAAACTATAATTTTAAACCTGACACTAACGACAACGACCAGAATTACTTTGTCGGTGAAATAAATTGTCAGTGAAATAAACTTTCGTCGGTTAATTGATATTCGGTGAAATGACAGACCTATTTTTGTCCCGTTAGTAAAATGGATTCTCGGTATTACTACTTCGGTGAAATGGTATTTCAGAAAAATGGATTTCGAGAAAGTGAGCAACAACCGTGGAAATCATGATAGTACGTACGGTTTGTAAAGAAAAAATTCTTTCGAAACAAAGCAAACTTTCCTATAACTTCACACCAAAAAAGAACAATATTTGCACTTGCCCTAACCTAAACATAAAAAAGGGTTTACTTGTAAAGGATTAGGTCTCCTCTTTCATTTGATATGAGAATGTGACGAATCATCGGTGTGACGAGTAAGCATTAGCTAAATAATTATATTAAATAATGATTATTAGCCACACCCAATGATTCGTCACATCCTTGTGCCAAATGGATAATGGACTATTTTTACAAACCTATGTTAACCATACGTACCATCAAAAGTTTGCTCAATTTTCGTACGTCCGTACATATTTGTACAATCGTACAGTAATACTTTACTAACCACCTGAATTTATTATTAACTTGATTAGCAACTAGGTGCTGCCAAATAAAAACCATGAATTCCAAATATAAAATTCTTTACAAACAGAAGATGGGTTTAAATGGTAAGTAATTGCTTTAGTCATTTGATTGAAAGGTTGATAGTAATCAAATATATGCAGTATAACAATTTGTCGACAAGTTTCATTAAACCTCGTGTTATTAAAAGGATAGTGTAACCGTCATTGGGAGAGATTACGGAGAATAGGGCCAATTTAACTCTAACGGTATACGGGTGAGTGATGGAAAACCTTGGATAGCAAAGTCGTTCTTTTATAATTTTTAGTGGACTAGTGGGACAAAAGGTGAATACTCTGATATAAATCAGGGATAGGTTAACAGGAAGCAATGACGGGTGATGCTGTTAAAGTGATGATTGCGTGTTATCAATGATAACTTTAAGTTCACGTGGTGGATAGTAGGGTCATTCTCTACTACAATTTCTATTAGAGTCAGGGAATGACAATATTTAATTCCGCTACTGTACTGAAATTAATAATCCGGATCGAAGTTACTAGTCAATTCAGTCCGTCGAATTGAGTCTCGATGGGTTTATTAATTTTATACGTCAGTTTTAAGGGTGTAAGGCATAAGATAAGTATACACTTTTTATTGTATTCGCAATTAATAAGGGATGTGAACTGTGGTTCTTTATTGATTTTGAAGTGCTTATATACATTTTGTTTTCTCAAAGCGTTTTGATAAAAATTTAGCGACTACTCAAGGATTTAGCGTTAACTTAAGGTTTTGGGTTTTCGCTATAGTTTTTATGTTTGGGGCGAAGGACTTACATATAAGAGGTAACAACGTATACGCGATATTATCATGTTTACGTGTATTATTACATTTATGTGGTTCTCATGCATCAGCCACTAATCCATTATCAGTTACTAATTTTGGAAATACGATAGTAAGACAAAGAGTTATACTAGAACGGAATTGGAATTGAAAAAAGATAATAAAATAATAACTAAAAAAAAATAATAAGAATATATAGATAAAAGACTTATGCGCCGTCAATATTCATTACAATAGCCAAGTTTCGAAAATATTCGTTCTTATCTCATAAGGTACTTAAAAGGTTGTTTTCCAAATTTACCAGAAGAGAATACTGGAATTCAGTATTGAGAAGGTTACTATGTCCAATTATTTTCAAGATCAATCGGGCATATGTCCAATTTATTCGAAACCAATTGAACATAGTAACCTTATCAACACTTTTGAAATGTCTTTCTTTTAATAGTCATCAAAAAAATGTATTAAAATAATCATAAAAAAATGTGTTAAAATAATCATATTAGTTATCTTATTCTTTTTAGTCTTTTTAACTATATTTTTATTTTTATAACAAATATTTTTTGAAACTTTTGCAATAAAAGAATATATATAAAAGAGTTTTTAATAAAAACTTGGTGCTTAAAATGTTCAAGAAACTAACAACGAATATAGTTTAAATTTAGAAGCAAAAAAAAACAAAGTACTTCACAAGGCTATTTTCGTACATTTATATCACGCTTGAAATTAGCATACACCTGAAATTGTAACTTCAAGCACCTAAGTTAAAAGAACTTCAATTGCAATTTTAATTAAATGCCAACTTCAAGTATGATATTTAGGTATAGTCGTGTGTTAAGTTACTATGCAAAAAATAACCTAATATAATCTTAAAACTGATGATGTTGCTTAAAAGAAAATTATACTGCTGTCTATTTGAACCATGCTAGGGCTCCTAGGTTTGGTTCGGGTTCGGTTCGAGTTTGATCAAATCCGGACCCGAACTCAAACTTGAAATTCTAATAAATTTCAATCCCAAAACTCCACTAACCTAGCATAACCACCAAGATCGGGTGGTACTCATTTCGTCGGCAATTACTTCATCGACAGCCCATTTCACCGACAATCAATTCATCAACAATTACTTCATCGACAGCCTATTTCACCGACAGTCAATTCGCCAACAATTATTTCACCGACAAAGTGATTCTGGTCATTTTCGTTAGGGTCAGATTAGAATTAGAGTAAAGTTAGTGCTATTTTTTTAAAAAAAACTTGTCGGTGAAATAAACTTGCCGGTGAATTGATTGTCAGCGAAATAGTTGTCGGTGAAATAAACTTGTCAGTGAAATAGTTGTCGGTGAAATAAACTTGTCGGTGAATTGATTGTCAGTGAAATAGTTGTCGGTGAAATAAACTCGTCGGTGAATTGATTGTCAGTGAATGTCGATGTTACACAACTTATCCTTCACCCAGTGTGCAACATATAAAAAATTATTTTACAACAACAAATCATTCTGCTAGTACATGTTATGATTATAATCCCACACCATTTTTTTATAATAAAATGGTGTGGGATTATAATCATAACATGTACTAGCGGAATGATCTGATATTGTAAAATAATTTTTTTATATGTTGCACACTAGGTGAAGAATCAGTCGTATAACATCGACGGTTTCTCCTGGTTTAGTTACTGTATATAGTTTGTAATTAATTATGATTAACTGCTATATAGTTGGTTAGCTAGCATTACCCAGTTCTGATGAATCTGATCCAAAATTCTAAGATTCTGCAAAAAACATTAAAATCTACAAAACATAGTTTAACATAAGTTTAGTACTGTCTACATATTTAAAGATGATCAGCAAAATTTTTCAATTAAGTCTTTGATGATCAGTAATAAAAGCTAATCAGAATCAAGTTACATATTCTAGAATTAGTATTTTTATCAATCTTTTAATCTTATAATCAGAATCACATAATCTTGTACTTGTTAGAACTGTTTTGGTAAGCTGAATCCAATATAGTGGTTGTTTTATCTAATTTGGTTTAGTGCATCAAAAGTTATAATCAAAAATATATAAAACTCTTAATGTCAACATAATTTACTTTATCGTTAGTGATTAAACTTCTGATATTAATTAAATTTTTAATTAAATTCCTAAGAGGGTATACGAATTAAAACTTGTCATCATTACAGGGGTGGAAGTCGAACATCGCCCAAAATTAGTAGAGTATGAAAAGGTCTTCCACTTCGCACCCTTCCGCTCCAGCCTAACTACAGCTATTATCATAATTCTAAGACGCTTAATAGAAATTAGCTAAATTATTCTTCAGTTGATTAGATTAAGTTTGTGATTTCAGAATTAACCATATAATAAAAGCTATTGTTTTACAGATCATTATAAATAATAATATTATTATTAAATTTTTGTTCAAATGCTTGCTCAACATGTTTAACTAGACTTTTATAACAATATATTACATGAATAGATACTACTAGGGATAGGTTCGGCCACGAACCCATCCTAGGTACTACTATTAAAAAAGTTAAATATGAACATGAATTTGTCAAACGATCGAATTGTCATAATATTAGTCTCTATTAAAGTTTTTAGAGTATTTTATATCATTTATGGTTAGTAAATGTGACTTTACGAAAGCGATTAAACACAGTCATATCTTTTGAAAATGGTTCTTAAAGAAGATTTGCTAACATCTAATTGTTTGGCAATTTTTTAAACTAACAAAACTTCTAATTTTTTTTTAATTATTTGCCAGTGAAGATGCTTTAAAAGTATAATATTTATGTATTTAGCCAGGGATATGCGTAGTCTTATAATATTTATGTTAATCAATTGATCTTAAATTACACATAACTTATATGTGTATACGACAAAATCACAAACTTAGTCGAATCAACAAAAAAATCATTTTGGATAATTTTTATTAGGTACCTCAGGAATTATGATTATATTATCGGAAATAAATTGTTGGGAAAGTGAATTGTTTGAAAATAGATTGTCAGGAAGATGGATTATCGGGAAAGTAGATTTTCGGTGAAGTAGGAATGAGTTACCGAGAAAATGGAGTCGGTAAATAGTATTTCAGGAAATTATTGTCAGTATTGCCGGAAAATATCTTGTCAGTAAAATAGATTCGGTGAAACAGAGTTGGACAAATATTATGCCGGAAAGATGGTTTCGGAAAAATAAGATCCATTCTATTCAATGCGCATACAGGTTCGAGCCCAAGTACTATATGAGTGCCGTCAAGGGAAAACCTGTCATCGGAGTTTCAATTATACTTTTTACCGGGCACGATCTCTAACAAATTAAACTGATTGTGTCCGGTAAAAAATATAATTGAAACCTCGATGACGTTTTCTATTGACGACACACATATAACAAATTTATTGTTCTATAAACACACACCCCTTTAATTCCCTTAATTGCACAATTTTGTCTAATCCGTCATATTATGCAGTGTTTTTATTTAGAGTAAATAAAATTTCAGAATTTAGACCATTTTATTTAAACTATTTCCAATTTAAATATTCTAGTCTAAAAAGGGTATTTCTTTAAGATTATAATGTTTGTTTAAAGAATTATATTAACATAAAATAATAAGTATTTATTTATTTATCTATTTATTTATGGATAAGAAAAATGGAATAAAATATGGTGCAAACAGTCTAAAGCTAAACCATGGTTTGATAAACCTTATTAAAAGCTATTAAAATTACGTGTTTTTTTTATAACTTAGTATTTTTTTATTTATTGAGAAGATACGATTTAAAAAATTATTAATAAATTTGATGTCTTTAAACTGTTCGCATCATAGGTAAATTCACAGCATTGTTTGTCTAAAGCTAAATATTTATAAAATTTAATAAATATTAATATAATTCAATAAAAAAGTATATATAATAATTAATGTATATTACAATAGGCTATAATTATATACCATACATATTTCTAAATAGATTAACCTATGAAAATATTAATAAAACACGTGAGTGGGCAGACAGAACATCCAAAAGTACTTAACTAATATTTGATTAGGAAATGCATCAAAACATAACCAGTGTGGTGATGATCGGATAAATTAAAGGTTCTTCGCTATGCTCCGGACAATTAGATACGGAGCATTGAACCTTGATGAGAACACTAATCGATATTGGGCTTCCACGGATCGTGTGACGTTGGTTCACCACAATCAAGGCGTTTTTGTGTAAATCGAGAGTTGTATTTTAATACATACTTTAAGGATTTAAATTGTGGTGGACTAATACTTTGTACATCTGAAGAAACAAACCAACGAATACCTTCAGTACATGGTGGTATGGAAAAACTGCCGATATAACTATAAACCTTTGAAATTAAACAAAACATCCTTAATAAAGTGTCATGAAAAATTTAAGCAAACATTTATAATTTGGTATAAATACATACAGTTTTAACCCTTTTAAATATTTGTTCGCTTAATGATATTGTTATATTAACATGATCATTGACTTCTACCGGTTGCTATTTTAAATTTTGGAGAATAAGTATTTACGGAGAGAAAATATTCATACTGTAATAATCATTAAATTTTTACATACCTTATCAATTATCTCTACAATAGGTTCCAAACCAGGCTCATCACGTTCACCAAGGTCAAAAAAAACCCCTAGAACGGCCACTTTTGCATCTTGCTCAGAAGAGGTTTTGAAAACCCAATGTCCTTCCAATAATAAATCTCTGCCTTCAATATGATGCTCTGATGGCATATGGAAATGATACTGATAAAGATAATATGTTTCACCATCAACTTTCAATGTTGCATCTTCATATAATGCTGGTTTCTCAATAGTACCCTCAGAACGTTGAATTTGATAAGTATAACCATTATTTAAGAGAATTAAATCGGTTGGTTTGGTTACGTTTAACTCAATTTTAGTAGAATTGGTAAAATCTTCAACTTTAAGATCTATAGGAGTTTGCTGCTTAATGCCTTTACAGGTTTCATAGGTTTCATTAAGTTGGTACCAATAAGCAGGACCGTTCGAACCAAGATATCCCCATTCAAAATTTTCTTCATTACGTGGACTGAGTACGTACGAGGAGACAAATGACAAGCCGATAATTAAAAAAAAACCGGGAATTGTAGTAGGTAGAAAGAATTTCATTTTTATTATCACAAAAAGAAAGGATTTAAAAGTTTAAATGTGTATTTAAAGATTTTTTTGACAATGACCAGAAAATATCTAGATGCATACAATCAATTAATCAAAATAAAGATAGGTAAGATGGAACGTCTCAAAAAAAGTGACTTGAGGACCCTCTAACATAAAGCCATATAAACCAGGCCTACCGAATAATTGATTGTGGGGCAATTAAATGCAATTTTTTGAACTCAATTAATTAATTTGTGGCGCAGCCACATTAGTCAATTAATTGCAATTTTTACTGCGATTTGCAAATGTTGACATCAGAAATCGTATGTTAAAAAAAGATTAAAGGGACATCCACAGTTAAAGGCTGACAATAGGGAAAAACCATATAGCAAAAAAGAAAAAAAATTATATCATGTGATTTACACAACCGATTTTAATTTAAAGATTTAAAAGAAATTCATTGTAATGAATCGGCATTCCATCACTATAAAAAATTTATAATAAGCTCCGACTACGGAATACGAGTGCGTGAAAACCATGATTTATTATGATTGGTTACGGGATTTCACTCTCATATGGTGTACATGATTTCGTACGTATTGTATTATATGAATATACATATATAGCTATTTGAGCGTGAGAGTGAAAATCAGGAAATACATTTAATGATTTATTATGATTGGTTGCGGGTTTTCACTCTCATGGGTTTGGTTTACAATTACGACATAACTTATATTAAAATTTCGCAAGTAACTTTTTTTTACTAATGCGCTGAAGATGGTTACATAGACAAAATTTTGAGTTAAGGATAGAAGTACATGTAGATCATTTGTCATATGATTTGTGCAGTAAATTTAGATTTACATAGTAAGCAAAAATATGGTACTAATAAAATTTTTTAAAAACGTACCAAAATTTTATTAAATTTTTGATATATAAATTAAAATGGTTTATTTATTATAATAAAAAATTATAATATATATTAATTTGAAAAAAACTATATTTGTATATATATTGTAAAAGTCTCAATAATAAATTCAAATTCTTAGTGGTAACATTCTGATTAGTTGATTATTATATGATTATTATATGATTTTTATAATAGATTTATAATACCAAATCTTTAAGTAAATCTATCTCAATAAATTTTAATCTGAATTTAATAATTCTACTATTATTAGAATTATAAAAATCTGTTTTACAACTTTGTATAAAAGTTTAAAAATAATTAAATTAATGAAAATATTTTTAAATATCAAAATAAAAAAAATTATAATTAAAGTCATATAACAAATGATCTACATGTACTCTACTCTTAAAGCAGTTTGTTTTGTTTGAATTTTACATTATACCTGATCTTGTAATCTAATTAAACAATCATTATCAATCAGTAAAAATCTGTCAATATCATTAAATATGAACTATTCATAAATATAAATATTTATAACCATAAAATACAATTTTGTTTAATTATATTTAAAAATAAAAATTATTTATATTATAAGAAAAAAGATTAAGTTACTTATAAATTACAAATAGATAAATTTGAAAAAACTTTTAATTAAAAAAATTATTTATTAATTTTTAGTAAACTTATTAAATATTAATTTTAAACTTGTAATTTTTAATATAATATTGTAACTTATATAAAAGAAATCAATTTTTATTAATATAATATTTTTTAATTTATTAAGAATAAATTTTTATTTAATTTTAAAAATATAAAATCTTAAAAAGTTTAAAAAAATTTTTTATAATAAAATTTTTTAAACAAAATTTTTAAATATTTATTATTTAAAAGTTTCTTATTAATTTTTAAAAAATTTTAATAAAGTTTATAAAGTATATTTTTAATAAAATATTTTATAACTAAACTGTATCTTATATTATTAATAATTATTTTTAATATTAAAGATAAGTACTTGCAATCTAGGTTTTTATTAATAGTATATTTTAACTTTGTGATTGTATTATAATAGTTACAGAAGATAATTATAATAAAAATATACAATTAGCTATTTGTACAACTTTAATTATTGTCAAATTTAAGTAGTTTGTTTAAAGATTCTGTATTAGTTATTATATCTAAATCTATTTGTGAATTCTTTATTTAAATATTTTAATTTTTGTATCTACTCATCTACACATTCTACCAACTGTTTCAGTTTTTATTAGTGCAAATATATCATAATCACTAGGTTATTAAAGTAGTTTACTTATATAGAGAACCTTTTAAACTTGTACTAAACTTATTAAAACTTTCTGTTACCTAATTTTTAGATAATCTGATATTACTATAATTAAAACAATATTTGCAATTAAAGTAATCTTTAAACTACTATACTCTTATAGAATTTATACAACTCTAGTACTTCTTTTTATAATTTTATTACCTTGTACATTTTTGCAAATCTTTTTATATTACTAATTTAGTTAGCTCTATATAATGCAACTTTATGTCTGATTTAACTGATGATCAGATTAAAGAACTCTTTTATTTAAGATTCTTGTCTGTACAAGTTACCTGTCTTAGGTTTTTATCTTCAGATCAAGATTTTTATAGGTAATACTATCAAAGATCATATCATCTTTTTATTTAGAATTTCTAAAAAGTTTTTATAAAGTATATACTTTTTAGATTTATTTGTATAACATTGCACATTTCCAAATTTAGTTTTGGTACAACTAAAATTATTGAATTACAACCTCAGATACTTCAATAAAATTGTCAAAATAGGTTTATTTTTTTAAAATTCTATTGTTAATAGAATTTGAACTTTGGATCTACTGTTTGGAGAATAACAACCTAATCACTATACTAGGATCATTATTTTTATATTATTAATAATTTATTATATTATTTAAAAATATTAAATGAAATTCACTTTTACCTATTATTTATCTAATTGTTTAATAACAAACTGATTGTTTACTATTTGAAAATATCTAAATTGTAAAAAAAAACTCTTTTCACTAATCCTTATAACCAAATTTGAAGTAAAAAGAAAACTATAAAAAACACAAAATCTGTTAAGTCAAGGTGCAGAAGTTGACTAAGCAAAAAGAAAGCTAATAGAAAATTAGTTATAGTTTGTTAGAATAATAAAATAGAAGAATAGCAATAAAACAGCCTAGAGACAGCTCTTTCGAGATTTTCTCTTTTTTGAAAAATTTTTTTTTTTTTTAAAAAAAAATGGAAAAACACAGAAACCCTGTATTGCAGATTGTATATGTGACACAAAAATTAAGGCAGAGTAAACTATAAGCATAATAGAAAATAAACAAACAAACAGATTTATAATTATGCAAATAAACAAACAAACACAAACTTAAGAAGCAATCATGTGTTTAGTATATCTGTAAAGATTATAGAATAATGCAAAGAAGTGTTACACAAAAAGTTCAATCAGTATCTACAGAAACCAGCTGGTATGATAAACTAGAAAAATATTGAGACTCGTTTGGTAAGTTAGACAAAGCACAGAAAGAAATATTAGAGAGTTATAAATCAAAAGGCTTAAGAAAAAATAAAGAATTAGCCAAACTTATTAGTACTGAGTCAGCACTAGTCTGTGTGTTTAGAAATCTAATAAAGATATATAACTACTATGAATATGTACAAGCAAGAGACAATAAAAAACTATAAAAAAGTAATGATCAGCAAATAAAGAAGACAAAAATAAACAAAGAAGCATTAATAGAACAAGAATGTGGCTGTTTAAATTATAGTATTATAGAAAAACAAACAGCTGAGCTCAAGTCAAATGTGAAAAAAGAAGAGGAGAACAGTATTAAAAAAAAAAGCATACAAGTTGAGGATAAAATAAAAGATATAAAGTTAGACAAAGAGTTAAGCAAAAATGAAAAAAAGAACAATAAGAAGATAAAAGAAAATGAGAAAGTAACTGAAAGTAGAAAACAAGTGTAAAAAAATGCAAAGAAAAAAGCAACATATATAGAAGAACCACTGATAGAATGCAAAAATAGAAATAAAGTAGATAATATCTATACAATATAGAACATTCCAGCTAAAGTTCATGTAGCATGAGTAAGAAAGTGTCTTCAATTTTATAGTAGAATTAGATTTATAGGTTGGAAAAACTGTGAAACCAGCAAAGCTACAATATTTTCAGTTAGATTTAAAAATGAAAAAAGAAAAGCAATGCTAGATCAAGCATAGTCAGTACATTTTGAAGAAGGAAAAACCTGTAGAGTAACTCTTGGTATCTTTGCAAAAGAAGTATTAGAGAAAAGAGTATTATATAAAGCTATAGTTAAAAATATTCCAACAACAGTAATAAAAGTATTGTTGCTAAGACAACTTAAAGCAGTTAAGGCAAAGACAGTTTATATATCAGTAAACAGAAATAGGAACCAGCGAAAAACAGCATTAGTGTATTTCGAAACAGAAAAAAACCTCAGAGTTGCTACAGAAAGAGAAGTATACTACTATAATACAAGATTAGAATGAAGTATTGCAAAATTCTTCAAGAGTGATAAAACAGAAAGAAAAGAAGAGAAAGAAATAAAAGAATACCAGTCAAACAAAAATATGCAATATGAGAAGTTTGTAAAAGTTAAAGAAGAAGTAAGAACTAACAAAGAGAACCAGAAGAGAGAATATAATGTAAACAAAAAAAAATATAGAATCAATACTTGATTAGAAGTAACTACAATTAAAGAGCCAAAAAGTAACTTGCAAGATACTCTTGACAAAATTTTAAAAAAACTAGATGAAATAAAAGAAAGACAATTAGAAAGTATACTTCCAAATTGGTTCTAAAAGTTGCCATAAGCATTGTTCAGAAAAAGACAACCACTTTGTCAGATAAATTTAACAAATGTGGTAACAGCATAACAGGAATTAAGATAGTGTGTCACAATATAAATGAAATAAAAAACAATAGGATCAAGCTTAAAACAATAGTTGAGTAATTAAAAGAAGAAAAGTTTGAGGTTTTAGAATTAGTAAAAACAAACTGTAATAGTAGAGATCTTAGGTTTAATTTAGA